TCCAAGAAAAACCTCAAGGACAGACTGAAATTCTGCAGGAAGTAAAAGGATTGGACAGCAGAAGACTGGTGCAAAGTTATTTTCTCTGATGAAGCTCCCTTCCGACTGTTTGGGACATCTGGAAAATTGATTGTTCAGAGAAGAAAAGGTGAATGCTACCATGAGTTCTGTGACATGCCAACAGTGAAGCATCCTAAAACCATCCATATGTGGGGTTGCTTTTTAAACAAGGGAGTGGGCTTTCTCATAATTATGACCAAAAACACTGCCAGGAATAAAGAATGGTATCAAAACGTCCTGCAAAAGTGACCTCTTCCAACGATCCATGAGCAATCTGGTGATGATTTCAAAACAAAATTTATGTCACTGCCAAAACTTTTGGCCATGACTGTAGAGCAGTTGATGAGGGTAATGACAAACAGGTGTTCTAATTGTGGATTGAGTGCAGGTGCTGGCCAAGGAGGATTGTGGTTGATGTAGTATGCAGAGGTGACAGATAAGTCCTGCGTCCCTATTTTCATACTATACGTCCTAAAAGTATAGTAACTTTTAGGAAGTATTGCTAAAAGCTTCATTGGCCAAAACAAATGTGAACTTTTCACAAAAAATTCTAAAATTTTGGATCTGTGGCCAGGCAACTCCCCAGATCTCAATCCCATAGAGAACCTGTGGTCAGTCCTCAAAAAGCGAGTGGACAAGCAGAAGCCCACAAACTGTGATCAACTGCGAGAACTAATAAGGCAAGACTGGATCGCCATCAGTCAGGATTTGGCCCAGAAGCTAACATCCAGTATGGCAGAGCGGATTGCAGAGGTTATGAAGAACAAGGGTCAACACTGTAACATTGTGTTCTTGTTAGCAATGGTTACCTCCAAAGAAACATGTGCAGCCATCATCGCTTTGCATCAAAATGGCCTCACATGCAAGGAAATTGCTACAAAGAATATTGCACCTGAAAGAACCATTTAGAGGATCATCAAGAAATTTAAGGAGAGAAGTTCGACTGCAGTGAAGAAGTCTTCAGGACGTCCCAGAGTGTCCAGCAAGCCCCAGGACCATCTCCTCCTGAGGAGTCAGCTACGGAATCGTGTCACTACCAGTGCAGAACTTGCTCAGGAATAGCAGCAGGTTGGTGTGAGAGCATCTGCACGCACAGTGAGGCCAAGACTTTTGGACAACGGCCTGGTGTCAAGAAGGGCAGCAAAGAAGCCACTTCTCTCCAAGAAAAACCTCAAGGACAGACTGAAATTCTGCAGGAAGTAAAAGGATTGGACAGCAGAAGACTGGTGCAAAGTTATTTTCTCCGATGAAGCTCCCTTCCAACTGTTTGGGACATCTGGAAAATTGATTGTTCAGAGAAGAAAAGGTGAACGCTACCATGAGTTCTGTGACATGCCAACAGTGAAGCATCCTAAAACCATCCATATGTGGGGTTGCTTTTCAACCAAGGGAGTGGGCTTTCTCATAATTATGACCAAAAACACTGTCAGGAATAAAGAATGGTATCAAAACGTTCTGCAAGAGTGACTTCTTCCAACGATCCATGAGCAATTTGGTGATCTACAAACACTGAAGCAGCAAACTTTGCAAAACAAAATTTATGTCACTCCCACAACTTTTGGCCATGACTGTAGAGCAGTTGATGAGGGTAATGACAGACAGGTGTTCTAATTGTGGATTGAGTGCAGGTGCTGGCTAAGGAGGATTGTGGTTGATGTAGTATGCAGAGGTGACAGATATGTCCTGCGTCCCTATGTTCATACTATACTTCCTAAATAATATGTGAGATTAGAATAAGTGTGTCCCAAAGCATAGTATGTTGAAAAGAGCATGCCAAAAGCCCCCAGATGGTCTACTATTTTAGGTACATTTTTGAAGTGTGGATCCGTGCACACTCTAATGGCTAATATTACCCACAATCCATTGGACTTTGACGAATTATTCAGTTGAGAACTACAAACATTAATAAAATTTGTGACTGACGGTTAAGTAGAGAGGTTTAGGTAAAGAGGTCTGAGTTACTAACAATCAACATTTAATCTGGTAAAAATTATATGGTAAGAAGTTAAATTAAATGAAATATGGAGGATATAAACTGTGACAAGATGATTGACAGGCCAGTTTACAGTGACAGGGTGCATGTAACTATGCGACAGAGCGGTCCGTTAAAGACGCAATTGTATGCCATGAAAGTATGTCCCAAAACTTGCCTACTCTTATACTACACACTCAAACGTGTTTACTTTTTCTTCACCAAAAAGTACATATTTTATGGGGATAATATAAGTAGGCACGTTGGGACGCAGCAACAGTGACTGGGGAGGTGACAGGCAAGTGACTGGTGATCCTTACAGAATATTAGTGTATTTTGTCTTATTGCACATTTTTTTCAGTCTGCCAGTGCCACAAGACAAATCATACACAATCAAGATACAGTCTCTGAAACAAGTTTTAATATTGTATATACTCTTTCTTATCAGGTGAATTTATCTTGTTTTAAGGCTGTTTAGATATTTTAACTGGAAAACAAGACAAAGATACTCACTAAAAAAGATTTTGCAGTGTTATAACCATACATTCACCTCTGAGTTTTTAAAGGAAAGCAAGTGCACAAAATGGTAAGCATTTGTGAAGTCTCCCCTCAGCCACGGTACTGTGCAAACACTTGGTAAATATTTCGATCTATGCTTAGGGACCGATCATAAATGAAGACAGCATGCGTGTCTGAGTTGATTTAAGTGTGGGACAGATGGTCTCCTCTAAGTATCATGCTTTAAAAACAGCAAAATTCAAGGCAGCCATCTGCATACAGCTGAAAATAGTCAACAAAAACAATGAAATTGCTTAAAAGTGGCTCTTAGTAACAGTTAGGCAAAATATTGGTCATAATCATTACAAAAAAAATGTATGCTCCAGTTGACTCTTTAATTAAAGATACTATTGTATAAGCTGGAGATATGCATATAATATAAATTATGCATTGCAGTTTTGCTGCTTTTTTCACTCAAGTGTAAAATGCTTCCTTGGTAACACGTTAGTATAGGGACCAATTTTCACTATTAACTAGTTGCTTATTAGCATGCCTATTATTAACATATTGACTGTTTATTAGAACTTATAAAGCACATATTCACCATGACCATATTCTATATCCCTAATTTTACCCAATACCTAAACTTAACAACTATCTTATTAATTATTAATAAGCAGCAAATTAGGAGTTTGAGGCAAAAGTCGTAGTTAATGGTTTGTTAATAGTGAGAATTAGACCTTAAAATAAAGTGTGACCGCTTTCTTTGTATAAGCTCTTTATTATTGTGGGAACGTCTTCTTTTTTTTTTTTTTAAAGATCAGAAACAGAAAAATGTATATTGAATTGTGTGTGAGGCTAAGTAAGAGAAACACAATGTTTTACTTGACACAATCTTTCAAGTGACTTATCTATTATTAAATTTTCTGTCATTGAGGAAATGTATCTAGAATATATCACACCTTCAAAACAAAACCATAAAGCTTTTTTTCTATGTCAATTTCATAGATAACACTTTATTGTAGACATTATGGACATACAAATTATAAAAAAACTGACTTTTATCAATAATTAATTAGATGACGCAAAGTGGCCACTAGATACAAAGAATGGAGCTAGGTGGTCAAAAGGGAGATGTTAAAAAACTAGGATCACTAGGAAAACTAGGAAGGAAATTTGTTTCAAAAGCTCAGCAAGTTATTACATTTTGATTACAATTACATTTTGATTACAGAAGACAAACATTAAACAATAAAACTAGGAATGAGCTTTAAAGCCACAATGTAATAGAAATGTAAACCAGATTAAGCATATGCTGATATTGTGTACAGTGTTGTGTTTACAGTGAAACATCAGGAGAGCAACATGTGTCCAGTTATTTATGACGCTGTGACCTTCTGAATAAAACATACACTAACATGTCTTGCGCAGAAAAATAAATGGTTTGGAATAATATTGAAGTTATAGGCATCATCACAAAAGAGAGTGCAACATAATGAACCAAGGGATGAAGGAATTAGATGAACTTTCTATTTTAAGGAATCTGATAGAATTATAGTCAGTTTTATATATGTTGTTTTAAGTATATTCTCAAGAAAACATTAGTATGCTTCAATATGTGGCAATCAGTTAAGAACTAGCAGATTGATAGATTGGTAGATTCATGCCCATGCTGTTGTGATCTAGAAATATGGCAACAGCAGATGGGTTACTGAGGTTACAGTACTGTGCCTATGGTACTTTATGGGAATGTTCCTGCAGTGTATCCTCTGCAACGCATTGAATAAAAGCATATGCAAATTATTATATATAATGAAATTATGAAATATCTCAGGGATTGATTCATTAAACTCTGGTGGCACTTTTGCACATTATATTTCAGTACCAACCCTGCACATTATTCACTAACCATCACTGATCCAAAAATAAGAATTAAATGAAACCATTTATAATTTCTAATTTATTTTAAAAGCATTAATTAAAATGGTCTGTAAACAGTTGTAAATCTCTGTAGTTATTCATATGTAAAATATATGTTTATGAAAGCACATTTATTTATTTATAAAATACATGTTTAATATGTACATTTGCTAAAGCCACACCTTATAAATGAATATTTGTTAATTGGTTATTTTGGTTACTGTGCCTGTTGTTACCATTTTAGTGTTGTGATTGAATTCTTAAAGTGAGTCTTTTCCTACTGCAGTGGATGGGAATTTCCTCTCATCACCAGTCCCATCAGGCTATTGCTATTAACCTAATCGCCTCTGTCTGATTCTCACTATCACTCTGGCTTTCACTCTCCAGCCTCACTCGTGCTAGACAGATGAGATAATGTCATCACCCTATAACATTATCAAGCCATCCATCCACTGCAGCCTCACTGATATTATTACGCCTGGACATTGTGAGAAATAAAGAATATATGTCCTCCTTACTATCGCACTGATAGACCCTGTCATGCACTTACTGGTCTGGACTGGATTTCTTTGGCATACAGCGGCTGAAGGAATTCCGAATCGCCCTCCAGTTTCAGGCCTCTTTCTGTGATACGCAGGTGACCCATGCCGTCCTGCAGAAAGAGATTAAAAAAAAAAAGAGTTTAAAAGCATGAAGTTAAATTGTAAAGCAAAATAAAGTCCAATATATATTCTCTGAAAAAAACTGAAGAATTAAAACAGATATAAATTCATTCAATAATAAAAGTCAAGGGTTTTCAAACTGGGGTCCAGAATTTTTATGGCACCAAAAGTGGGTTTAAACTTGGCATTAACATGCGATGATGCGATCACCGTGATCTGACCAAGCAGATCGGATCATCAGTCAATCAGGACATGGCGTGTATACACTTGGCAGCATCAAGTGACTTCTCTAGCTGGGTAACCGATCGGATCTATCTTTCCCATGCAATATTCAAATAAGTCTTACACACTTCACTTGCATTTGCGGTCTTACGGACTTACAATGGCTGCCGTGTATGCATGTCCATTAAGTCCACGAGACTGTAGGATGTCCTATTCGTCATTTTAGCTTTCAGAAGGGC